TAACCTTTAATAACTATACTCTATGTAAAAAAAAATCATTCCTTATGTACAGTGTATTACACCTGATGACAACCCATTTCAGACCTGCAATGACTTAAATTATTACTGGCTTGCAGGATCCTAGAGATTAATTTTTTTCGATCAGTATTTGTTATATTTGGATTGGACTGCAATTCAAAATTAAATCACCAATTAAACAGAGTAATTACTTCATATGTAAGTGACAATACTTTTGGGTATCGATTATATTTAAGTTGACTGCAATTAAAAATTAAATCACTATTTTGTATATTGATTATTTCATATGTAAATAACATTACCTAAGTTGCACAAACCACATTAAGCAGTGTCCTTGTGAATGATGTAACCAATATTTACTAATTTTCATAAAAAAAACAAGGTGTACTGGCTTATTGCTGAATTCATGGCCAGGTAATGGTCGTTATTTGAAATTTACATGTGTATTACGGAGGACCATACAGGCATGCATTGTGTGCAAAGCAATATAAAGCTGCATTGTGCAAGCATGAGATGGTTTGTTATTATAATCTTTGAATGTAATGCATTACTGGTCAACAGATGACGCAAATACAATAGTATAAAAAAATCTCACAAAGTGGCAAGTTTGTTTAAGAGCAGCATAACACATACATTTACAATAGTTTGAATGCAACCACCCTCAACTCCCTTCTGCTGCAGATTCATTTACAAGAGAGTGGTTCAAGCCTTCAAGTAAGAGGATATAATTCTGATGTCAAGATCCATATCCCGGATAATACAAGATTTAAAGGAAAAAAACAAATAATTGTTTATGACTGAAACATAAAAATAATGAAGGTATGAGACTATTCCGCAGTCAGCTTGTGCACTAGCTAGAAGCAAGTCATGATTAATTTTACTATTAAGAACATGTAAAAAATATGCAAGGTTTTTCCCTTCTTCTTGTAGATTTGTAATTGCTTGGGAATAACGTCAATTGCCACCTCAGTTTATTATCCAAACAACTATGAATCAAAGTCAACTTCTATTTACAATAAATCATAAATTTTTAGTTTTAGGTTTAGCAATTTGAATTTAAGGTCCTAGTCAATCAACTGATCTTGGGGAAGTTTGATGTTGGGATCAAAATTTTTACAGGGTGACTAATTGAACCAAGGCCAACCGAAAACAATATTGACAAATTGTCCGGTCAGTAGCATGATCAAAAACATTAGTACAATAAAAATTTTTACAAACTTACTGTATCACCGTGTCATGAGCAGCTTTGCCTAGAACAACAAATCGTTAGAGACTGGTTGTTTAAATGTTAAAACACCTGAGGTTTTTACTATCCAATTTGCACAGAATTTTGTGAGACAGCAATAATTTGATTGAGTAGTTGTACTGTAAGGCCCAAGGCTTTCATGTTAAAGGATTAGCAAATGCTCCTTCCAAATATCTTGCTCCAAAATTGTTCAAGATAGTGACTATAAATGAAAATAACACCTCAACAATTTCAGTGCAAAAGAAAAAGAATAGAAGGCCTGTTTATGGTCTAAAACTTCACCAGAGGTAGTAGAAAACGTGAAGATTTGTTAACGGGAGGGGCGTGGGACTTGGTTCTTTGTATACAGCAGACAGGATCAGTCTTGTAAGTCTTGGCATTCAGAACAGTTGGTCATAACTGTTTCCTGGTAAAGTTCGACTTGTATAGTGCTGTGGTAAATATGGAACTCGGTCTTCAATTTCTGGTTGGCTATGTTGAGAACTTTCTGTGAGTCATATCCTTGTTCTGGAAAAAGGATTTCAAGACCACATTATCAAGGTAAATATTATTTAATGTTGATTGCAAGTTGTACTGTGCACTTGATTAGGCTGGTAAATCAATTAAACAGGTGAATGACCACCACAAAAATTACATGATATTTAATGGTACCCATAGATTAAGTGTCGTGGGAGGTGTGGGGACCTTATGATTACTGCACTTGACCCCGGATCGAGTGGTCTGGGATAAGGCCAGCGGCACTGTGCTGGGTTCTTGGTCAAAACACTTTACTCTCACAGTGACACTCTTACCCAAATGTATAAACGGGTACTGGCAATTTTAATGTGGGGGGTAACCCTGTGATGAACTACCCGTTTCCTGAATAGAAATACTCCTAGTCACTTTGTGCTACATAGAAACTGGAGATAAGTACCCGCCTGATGGACCACTTGGCTCGTATGCATACTTTACCTTTACTTTTAGAGAATGAGTGTCAGTGAAAACAAAAAAAAACATTCAAGTTCAGAATACCAACCTATTGCCAGGTGAACAGACAAGGCGGCCTTGTTTACCGTCAACGACCAGATGTGTAAACTGTGGGCAGCCACCACACCTTCAATGCTCTCCAATGACACCTTCACATTATTGTATTTAATGTCTTTAGGTGTACCTAATTTGAAAAAAAAGGTGAAGCAATCAGCTTCTGAGCTTTAAAGCTGGCATGCTCCACAAATGGAACCAGCTGAATCCACTTGTGCTAGAACTCAGAAGACAGAACTTATGACACTTTTGAAAAAACAATGGCTAGCAGAACTTTTAAGAAGCCAGGATAGTTATGAAAAACTATTCTGAACCAATAATTGTAATTTGCCATTTTTAATAGGTTTTCTGGCACACAGAAACTTGACAGGCAGTTTCTGATTTTCTTTACCGATGTTTGCTATGTGGCAGACTATGTCTGAGTGATTTGCATTATAATGGGGCTGTGAATAACAAATATTTTACAAATAACAGTGTCTGAAAGCCATCTTCAACAACAAGCCTGTTAGTAAAATTATGATTAGTAATTTTATTTAGTTCTTAACTACGTTTCTGTCAGGTTTACAGCGCAAATCAGAAAAGTACAAAAACGAGAATTTTTAGAAGAAATCTACTTGTGTCATGACAAAAAACCAAACAGATATCCTCCTTTATAATTACAAATCAAAAATTCAAAACTTAACAACTAAGGCAAACATCCTTGTGGTTTGACCTACATGTATCATGTGAGCAGTTACCAAACAATAATCCGGTATGGCTATTAAATTTACTAATGCGTTAAAATTAACCACTGAGCATTCACACTTTTGGGATTCACAAAGTAAAGTCATCACAGCAACAATCACAATCATACCTTCCATAAGAACATGAATGGTCTCTTTCAAGATGTTAAGCGTTGTTATGAGAACCAACAGAGAAAACAGGAATGTGCATATAGGATCAGCTAGCTTCCACGAAGGCTGTTAAACAAAACAACAAAACTTGAACTTTAAGATGTGGCAGATAGTCACTTGTAGACTAATATAACAAAGTTCCACAGCTCTATACATAATTTTTCCAGTCACCTTTCAATGACTGCATTTTTAAGTACAGTGGAACCTCCCCCCAACAGA